ATAAATAAATAAATAAATAAATAAATCGCAACCGTTAGGAGACTAAGATTCCACAGACTGATTACTGAAAGTAATTGCAAAAACTGCAAATACTTTTGTACCAACCTAATAGATGCCAGACCGCAAACCAGGTAAAAGTCGAGAAAAGAAGGGGCAATATTAGAAGGGGTTACCGGGCTATGTGCACTAAGGGACCCCCTCCCTTTCCCAGAACGCACCGCCAGCACTGCACCTTCACTCAGTACCAGGTAGCCGAGCTGGTCTGGGATTCGCTCCAGCCCCTGGGTCAGTGCAGAAGTCTAGTGGGTAAAGATGCAAGTAGTGAGAAGCATGCTAGAGGGATGGATGGCCCCTGATACCCTTCACCTACAAACCCAAGTCTCTTGATTGACGATGGCCCCAGGTTTTCTCATTCCCCAGCCAGGTCCTTTCCCGGCCCCCTTCCCCCTACATGGTCCTCAATACTGATCTTCCCGAGCCTCCATCTGTCCCCACTCTCGGCCCCCGGGCTCCCCTGGCCTTCCACGCTCCACCTATGCTACCCCGAGGGGACTTCGCTGCCCCACTGGCCCCTGCCCCCAGACCCTCTCTCCACCTCCCCGCCCCTGACCTGCAGACTACCCGCAGCCCCAGAACACCCTCCCACAGACCCCTCCCCAGCATTCCCGTCGCCATCCCTCCCATCTCCATCCCGTCTTCCTCCCCGAGCGGATAGGAGGTAAGGGTGGAGCGCAGACCCACGAGGGGGAAACCACACAGATTGGGGAGCAGAGACGCGGAACCCCCGGCGGGTCCTCCCGCGCATGCGTCCTCACTCACCATCGCAGTCTTCGGTACTGGTGGAGCTCCCTACCAGATAGGTAGCTTCCGGCTTCAGGCCCCGGTCACGTGCTCGCACCCGGCGCGCTCCTCCTTCTGCTTGCTTCCCTACCCTTTAGCCGCGCCTCTAGCATGAGGATTGGATCGTGGCCACGTCGTCAGACCCAACCAGCCAGTGCGAAGCGCTCCTTCCCGGAGGCGCACGTTGATTGGTGATATCCCCTCTTTAACACCCATCTCCCCGCCTCTCAGTCAGTGCCTGAGCGAGAGGAAGAGGGAGTTCGTCCGGGGAGGGGACGGTCTGGGAGGGCCGGGAATGGGACAGGGTTGACCGTGTGGCCCCGCGCGCGCTTTCTAGAGTCTGGGTTCTGCCTGAACCAGGATGCCCGCCAGTGTGACCCCCCAAACGAATGCCTTCCCAGATTTAAGACTGGACCCAAAAAACGTGATAATACAAGGAAATAACGTGCAATGCATGTAAAAAGCTATTCAAGGCTGGGCGCCGTGGCTCACGCCTGTAATCTCAGCGCTTTGCGAGGCGGAAGAGGACGGATGATTTCAGGGCAAGTTATAGACCAGCCTGAGTAACATAGCGAGACCCTCCCCAACCCCCCGCCTCCAACCACCTCTACAAAAAATAAGAAAATAAGCCGGGCGTGGTGCCTCGCGCCAGTAATTCCAGCTACTAAGGAGGCTGATGCAGGAGAATCTCTTCAACTCAGCAGTTGGAGTGCAGTGAGCTATTTTGGTGCCACTGCACTCCAGCCTGGGTGCCCTTCCTCTAAAAAATAAAAATTAAAAAAGCTATTCGAATGCTACCTTTTTTT